CACCTTCCTTCCAGCTTGATAACTAAGGCCAAGTTTTGGGTTTCTTTGGTAATAAGCCAATGAAGAGTATCCGCCTCTGATGGGCATTTATAATCATTTCTACTCTTGAATTCTTAAAATAATTCAACTGTACGTCTCAGCGATTACTTTATAATGTACTTGTATTCTCTCCCTGTCAGAGAAGTGTCAGCTGAGTGGCAGGCTTAGTCCCCATTCACATCTAGGAGTTTTGTCGCTCTAAGGTGAGCTTAGCTTTGAGCGACAAAACTCCTAGGTGTGAACGAACCATTAGGCTGTCTGGTTTCCTGTCTGACTTCAGTGCTAATAAGAGACTAATGATAATGAAAAGACAGTGCCGATAAGAGACTATCCTATGATAGAAATGATAGCGTTTGGGGGAGACCTAAGACTGAGGACATCCTATGATAGAAATGATAGAGTTTGGGGGAGATCTAAGACTGAGGACATCCTATGATAGTAATTATAGAGTTTGGGGGAGATCTAAGACTGAGGACATCCTATGATGGAAATTATAGAGTTTGGGGGAGATCTAAGACTGAGGACATCCTATGATAGAAATGATAGAGTTCGGGGGGATCTAAGACTGAGGACATCCTATGATGGAAATGATAGAGTTTGGGGGAGATCTAAGACTGAGGACATCCTATGATAGAAATGATAGAGTTTGGGAGAGATCTAAGACTGAGGACATCCTATGATAGAAATTATAGAGTTTGGGGGAGATCTAAGACTGAGGACATCCTATGATAGAAATTATAGAGTTTGGGAGAGATCTAAGACTGAGTACATCCTATGATAGAAATGATAGAGTTTGGGGGAGATCTAAGACTGAGGACATCCTAAGATGGAAATGATAGAGTTTGGGGGAGACCTAAGACTGAGGACATCCTATGATGGAAATGATAGAGTTTGGGGGGAGACCTAAGGCTGAGGACATCCCATGATGGAAATGGAAGCTCCTGATTGAAGGGGGGCATTGTAGCTTCAGCTGCTGGGGGATCTTGAGCTGGGGTTGGGATTTAATGACTCAGGACCGGCTTTGCCTCTGTAGGACTCGTTCCGAAACTTGTCCCAGGAGCTGGACACGGCAGTGGCTTTGGGTCTGTGTTTCGGGGTGAAGTTGGTGCGTGGGGCGTACATGGACAAGGAGAGGAAGTTGGCCAAAGTGAAGGGATACCCGGATCCCATCCAGCCAGACTGGGAAGCCACTAACAGGAGGTACGGCTGCTTCATGTTCCTGGGTCATGGGGGACAGGCAAGGAAAGGGAGGAACTAAAAGGTCATGACCTCTAAATTCCGCAGTTACAATGGCTGCCTGGATAAGCTGCTGGATCTGATTGGACGAGAGGGGGAGCGCTATAACCTCATCATCGCCAGTCACAACGAGGAGTCCGTTCTTCACGCAGTACGAAGGTCGGTACAAAGGGCCCCTTCCCACAATGCCCCGGGGCCCCGTAATTCATATAATGAGAAATGTCTTCACTGGCAGTGACTCTCCTCTGCTGGACTACAGAACCCCCCATCCATGTTATGGAGATCAGGGGGGGGGGGGGTTTCTGGGTCGGATTTTTTTGTGTCTTTGGGGGGTCCGTGGTGCTTGATTGGTT